AAAGCTTCTGAGGATGGAGGAGTTATAATAAGGCGACGGTAACACACAAAGGAACCGTGGACTCAACTGACTTGACACCAGGTAGCAAAAACAGTAAGCAAGTAGCCCGTAAGAGTGTTACCTAATTTGCACATCCAGTGTTCTATGCCTCACTCACAATGTTGCTTTTCACAGCTTCCATAAACACTCTCACAGTAATTAGAAATGAAATGAATGCGCAGAAATAGCAGCTAATTAACAACAATGGCAGATGAGATGCGTTTAAGTATTAGGCAGACGCTCCAGACACATCTCCAAGGGCCTCTTGAAGGCTCCTCTCCCAAACACCTCCACATTGCTCACCAGCCATGGGATCACATTACCGGGCAAGTACGACGTGCAGTTGGCCATCGACTGGATCTCGGCTGGCTTCAGAACGCGGTCCCAGATATTGACTTGACTCAGTTCTCCCACGAAGGCCTGACCGGCATCAAAGCGTCCACCTACAACGTCCTGCAGACAGCGGCATTATAAACGGAACGGTCAAGGGAATATTCCTTGGACATGTACGAAATTTCTGGTTGATAATGTGAGGTGGTTTTACGTGAAACGAAAAATTTCATTCATTTGCTACTTCATTTGGAAAAGTCGCACAATTGAGACAATTATGACAAGAGCCTAATGAAAAACAACCTTTACGAAGATTATATTGCTCAGTTTGGATTGAGAGGCGTTCGTTTAAAGTTGAAGAGTATCTTTAGGATGCAGCCATGTAGAACAGCACTGCATTACTGTGCACATACACCAACAGTAGATTAACAAAAAAAAAAAAAGTGTTTCTATGATAGTGCTGGTCTGCTCTTTACATTGAGGTCAGCTATTTATAGACCTTTTAAGGCCCAAAACTAAAATGTATTTTATTATTTTTTTTTTAATGGAGAAGGTATTTACAATATTAGAAGCCCCGTATGTGGTATCCGGCATCTAAACCGCAGGAAAGTGACATTTTTGGAAACTACTAAGTAGGCTATACACGATCAGCGATTGGAGCCGATCGGCTAGTTAAAAAAAAAAAAAAAAAAAGATAACCAATCACCCATCTGATCAGAAGATGGACCAATCTATCCAATTTATTTAAAGATCTTACAACACTGATAAACTTTCCGTACGTGGTAAAAGGAGGGTCAGGGGGGACCTGACATCACCCCACCCACCACCCCCAGGTCTGCATTTTATATTATGCAAATTATTTAGTCCCTCATACGTTTCTATACTGTCGATTTTATCTGTCTTGCGAAATGTGATCTTGTCTCTATTAATCAAGCTATTGCTAATCGGATCTGTAGCTTGCTGGACAAAATGGATTAATTATTCAAAGAGAGGCAGCGGCGTCAGTTTCAATAACGCGTATCATCCTCGAGTTATTGTTGTCATCACTTCGGTACCTGCTCCTGGCCCAGGATGATAACCCCTCCTGGTTTAATCGGGTGCCACGCTGCCAGGTTGTCTCCTGCCCCTTGCTTTTCCCCATCCTGATAGGCCTCCCACTGTCCATCCCTAGTGGTCCAGGAAACGCAGATGTGGTGCCACCTTCCGTCACGAACCTCCAACGGCAGCTGCGCAACCTTCACAGTTCAAAAACAAAGCCCATGAGATGGACGATGACAGTTTGGAAAAACAGTGATGACTCACCTTGTCATTGATGAGCAGCTCAATTGGGTTATTGCCCCATTCGATCAGCACAATCTCATTGGCTTGTCCGGGCACACCGTAGGAGAAAGGCGTCCCGATGCCCGGAGAGGCATTGGACTTGATCCACATGCAAAGCGTGAACGCATACATCTCGGGGAGGCTCTTGATGATGCGGCCGTACAAGTAGTTTGTACGCTGCGGTAGGGAGAGCTTGAACTGCTCAGGGGTCTTGAAGTCTTCCCCTCCTGTCCATATAGAAAGGGCAGAAGGGTCACCAGCACGTTAAGATTTTTGATCGAACAACAAGGGGTGAAAACAAAGCTACTCAGAAATGGGTTACCAGGTGATCAAATTAGCCTGTATGGATACATTTCTTACCAACATTTTTATTTTAATGTATGAGAAAGCCCCCTGTCACATTTGCCTGGGTCACGTTACCTTTCTCGAGCTCACTTATCCTCTCCACCAGGGCGTTGAGCGTACTTTCCGTCTTCAGCCGGTACGCCGCTGTGGCGTTGGACAGCATGCTCTTCTCCTCCTCCAGGTTGCTGACTTTCCTCAGCAGCTGTTTCTCCAGCTCGACCAGGCGACGCTGCAGCAAGTCACGCAGCTCGCTGGGGAAGGACGCGCCGGATATGTTGGCCCGCATCTGCTGTTGCTAAAGATGGATGAGCAGGAGCCCAAACGATATTGAAATTCGTATTTTCTGTGCTTTTGGTTTCATGAAATAAATACACATTGAGGGAAGTTTTATTTTACACACATAACTAGCCTTCAGTCTGACATGAATTTATTATCCATTTTGCAGATTGCAGCATCCAGCAACGCTTTGTTCCTGAAGAGGCATACGGATGGCCACAGCAGAATTGTTTTCCACGTGTCCAGTGTTAAAAGAGAAGAGAAAGAGCCACTGTGGGCGCAGAATGGCACACACTATTACTCTTAACTATTCTCAACTATGAGTGCTTCGATAGGGCTACTGGAGGAATACCGTTGCTTGTTTGGTATAGTTTGGAGAAAAAAAAATGTAAACGCTGTACATAGAGAAACAGTAAGCAAGTTCGTACTGTCCTACTGTGCCACTAGGTTGTATTCCCGCGATGCTCTCTGCTGTTTGAATGAATTATTTAGTTACCCATGTATGTTCACAAGTCTAGCAGGTCATAAACCACGTGTAAATTACATTGTGTGAGGACAATCAATTAGTGACCCACTGGCGCTCAAGCTAAACCCCTCATGAATTATTAACTTTAATAAAGGTCATTTCATTTTCAATGTTAGTTTTCAGCACAGCGGGTAGTCATCAGTGCACATTTTTTTTTTTTAACATTGGCGTCATCGAGTGAATGTAACAAACAACAACAAACCCATGGGACATTCGATAACCAAAACAAAAAAAAAAATACATTCGAAGAGAAAGCATATTAATAATAAAGCGACAATGTCACTTGAGGACTTTTCACCAGCTGTGATGAAAAACGGCGCAGTTATTCAAGCGTCTTTCTAATCACAGCTTGTCCCTGTTCATTAATAATAGTGACATTTCTAATGAATGTGTCCTGACGGGGACACAGTCGGGGAGCTCGCGGTTGCCATGGTAATCTTCAACCTTGACCTCAACCTATGTTGAGTTTTAAAGTTCGTGAATGTGGGTTATTTTCATATAGTTTGACCAATAACAATGATTTCCCCACAAAAAAAGATTATTAAAAAAATTTTGCCGCTTGGATTTTACATGTGTAAATGCCTATCATGCTTTCAAAAAGTTGTTGATGAATTTAATTTTTATGTGTGTTGCCTTTCAAACTCTGTAAAACAATAACTGTCAAGGCACTTTCTCAAATTCTTACATCTCTCAGTTGCATCACCATCTATTTTGCTGCCTGCTATCGCAAATCCCTCTGGTGCATCGCAACAAGGCTCTCTCCGGCCGCGTTAACGATACAGACAGCTCAGTGACAAATTTGTCCAATAAATAAATAAACAACCTCCCAAGACACTGAGATGCATTTGTCTTCGCTTCCATGGAAAAGGTATAAGAAAATGTGTTTCAAGTGCGCTGCTTTGCAGCCAGAAGGAATTCCAGGACAAAATGTCTGCTCTGTCACCGTCGACCTTTTGACCTCTCCCTCTGTTAAGCGTTGCTAATGCCACCCACGCCACCTGGTGTTGTCCTGAAGCCAAGTCAGCTCAGTTAAAAGATCCCCGCTCGGCTTACGCTATATACTACTTATGTCACACCCACGCCTCTTTATCATACCTGACAGTTGCCACCAACAGGGCAGCGGATGACTTTAAACTTGTGTGTGTATATGGAAGCTACAATGGAGTCAAGTTCTGGAAGCACAAGGAGAGACGGCTTTCCTCCAATATACGGCTATGATATTAAAAGTAGTCATTCAGATTTATTATTCAGCGTTTCCCACACCCTGTAACCTGACAACATGATCAGCTGTTCAATGTAGTGACCGCTGTCCCTGAAAGGGTTAAAATGGAAAAAAACTCCTTCATGCTACACTCGGTTTGAAAATGATTGCGTGAAAAGTGTCCTTTCCTGACAAAAAAAAAAAAATCTGGCAAACATTCATTTAGGCAGCAGCTCTTTTTTATTAAGCACATATCATGACAACGTCATTTTTATCCATTGAAAACAATCGTTGGCACTCGAGTCCCCATAAAGGCCACATCAATAATTCGGAAGAGTTTAACATGCAAAACAGTCATAGAAAAACAGGACAGCACGTGTACATTACAACACATACCACAAATAAATACATCAAAAGTAGACAACTACCAGTGCTAACAATCACACTGCAACTATACACAATAAAACAAAAAAATCATACCATGAATACAAAACATCATTTAACAGGTTTTGTTTATATAGACAAGGCAAAGAGGGGAAAAAAAGCACTGTGATAGATTTATTACTCATGTCCATACAGAGAGTATTGATCCCCCCCCCCACCCTTATAGAGTGTCAATCGAAGAGAAAGGTTTTCCAAGCTAATCATGTCAGGATACAACCTGTGATTGATTTTGGCTCCAAGCCGATTCTCCCGTTAAGCAATACACATAACATGAGCCAGAACGTTAAAGATAATCTCCTCTCCTGCTTTCTCCCGCCCGGCACGCAACAGCGGCTCACATGTCAGCGCAAGTCTGGCTCTCTTGTACAGTAGTCGAACCTCGTTACGGTGTCGCGGATTGTCGTCAATTTTCATCATCTCGGCTGAGCGTCCTTTCGAAAGTGATATACAATTTCAGGCTTGACGGAGAGAGAGATTTGCTTCCGTTCACCACACGTTTTCAGACGACGTGCTCAGGACCGTGCCATGCCTCCGCGAGTTACGGCAGAAAGTGCAACAACGTACCGAGTCGATCAGTAGCGTTGCAAAGCAACAGAGGGAAATCCCGTGCTGTTTGTTTTGTTCCTAAGCAATGTCGTGGCGGCGGTTAGCTTCCCACGGTTCGTTGTAGCGAAGGCGTTTTTGCTATTTTGTCTGAAAAAATCTGGTCGTTGTGATGGAATTTACGTTATCAAGATATTCGTTGTAAGCACAAGCGGCAAATGGATTACGTGAAATCGGGACTTTGAAATGTGAACGTTATAGGGGTTAAAATGTAAACGGGGTACGTTGAAACGAGGCTCGACAATATTTATGTCTGTGCGTGTGTGTGTGTGTGTGTGTGTGTGTGTGTGTGTGTGTGTGTGTGTGTGTGTGTCCAAAGCTTCTGAGGATGGAGGAGTTATAATAGGGCGACGGTAACACACAAAGGAACCGTGGACTCAACTGACTTGACACCAGGTAGCAAAAACAGTAAGCAAGTAGCCCGTAAGAGTGTTACCTAATTTGCACATCCAGTGTTCTATGCCTCACTCACAATGTTGCTTTTCACAGCTTCCATAAACACTCTCACAGTAATTAGAAATGAAATGAATGCGCAGAAATAGCAGCTAATTAACAACAATGGCAGATGAGATGCGTTTAAGTATTAGGCAGACGCTCCAGACACATCTCCAAGGGCCTCTTGAAGGCTCCTCTCCCAAACACCTCCACATTGCTCACCAGCCATGGGATCACATTACCGGGCAAGTACGACGTGCAGTTGGCCATCGACTGGATCTCGGCTGGCTTCAGAACGCGGTCCCAGATATTGACTTGACTCAGTTCTCCCACGAAGGCCTGACCGGCATCAAAGCGTCCACCTACAACGTCCTGCAGACAGCGGCATTATAAACGGAACGGTCAAGGGAATATTCCTTGGACATGTACGAAATTTCTGGTTGATAATGTGAGGTGGTTTTACGTGAAACGAAAAATTTCATTCATTTGCTACTTCATTTGGAAAGGTCGCACAATTGAGACAATTATGACAAGAGCCTAATGAAAAACAACCTTTACGAAGATTATATTGCTCAGTTTGGATTGAGAGGCGTTCGTTTAAAGTTGAAGAGTATCTTTAGGATGCAGCCATGTAGAACAGCACTGCATTACTGTGCACATACACCAACAGTAGATTAACAAAAAAAAAAAA